CTAATACTTAGCCAATGTTCCAGCACCTGAAAGCCCCCACTCGGGTTACAAGCTTGCGTTACAGAGCTCGGCGGTACAAACACCTCGTGCAGGGTTTATAAAGCGTAGTGTGTGATATGAACCAAGCAATGTGGGACAAGTTGCACTCGCTTTGCCTCTTAAGATCAGATCTTGAATAAGCTCAGAATTTCGTCTATACTTTTAAGTGGCGATTTAGGGAGTTGAGTGTTGAAGATTCTATTTCTCTAAAGGAAGATAACCAATAATAAACACTTCACATTCAAAGGAGACTAAAAGAAAGTTTGTAGTGTTGCTTATTTTGTTTACAACGATTCTTGTGGATGCTAGAGGATCCTCAAGACCTTGTTCTTGGTAACACTGGTTGGTGAAAAATAGTAACATCAGTTCAAACATTGACATAAACAATTTTCTCCCAGGAAACAGTAAACACAAATTAAAGTAAACATAAACATGGCATACTCAGATCTCACAACCTTCTGATTATAATGAAAATTGTGCTGCTTTTCTTTCTGTTTGCTAATTAACCAGCAACTCACCCTTTTTCAACATTATAGAAACACAATGGACGGTGACATTTTAATGCAGAATATTGCATATTTGCAGATCATGCCTCCTCCTTGGCAAACAATCATGTGAATGAAGGACCTGCAAAACAAGATGAATTAAACTAATCATATGCGTTGATCAGCATAATTCAGTTAAATGGTTTTTGCCTCTCCACGTATTTGTGTAAACAGGGACGTCAACGCCACTCGTGGGATCGTATATTAATTATGATTAATTAAATGGTTGTAGCATTTTAATGTGCTAAATTAATCAATTCATGAGTTGGAATGATGGGGTGGGAAGGGACACTACATAAACATTGCCTAGGGAACATATAGATCCAAATCAAAATCATGTTACCTCTCACTGATGATTGAAGTGGATGAGATTCCATGTCCCCCTCTTCAATCAACACTATATATTAAGCACTCTGAATTGTACATCAATCAAAAGTTTCTAAGTGTTATGTTCTATCTTCTCACAACACACAAAGAAGAAATGGCTTTCCACACTCTCTCTAACAGCTTCCCTTCAAGGCCACACCCTATCATTCAAGAAGTTGACGAACATTTGTGTAGACTGAGGTCTTCTGAGGCCGCCTCCACATCTTCATCATCAATATGCCACAAACTAAGTGCCCTCCAAGACTTGCATGATTGTGTTGATAAGTTGCTTCTGTTGCCTCTCACGCAGCAAGCCTTGGCCAAAGAGCAGAACAAGAAATGGACTAATGAGCTATTAGATGGCTCTCTCAGACTCTTGGATGTTTGCAGCAGCGCCAAGGATGCTATCTTGCAAACCAAGGAATGCGTACAGGATAGCACAAAACTGAAATGGTATACAAGAAACCCCTCAAATATTACACTCTGTCGAGGACAAAGATTGGTTGTTTGAAGCAGAACAGGTTCAAGGTGACTTAACCTGCATGGTGCTCATTGACAGTTTGGCAGCATCCACAGGGACGTAAGTCCCCGCCAATATCTTTTTTAGTACAGGAGTCAGGGGTATTGCCCCAAGAGTTGTGCATACCGTCATTACAATAGACAGAGGAACATCCCCTTGAGCAATTAAGGTCACCTGAAAGGCTATTTCATAAAAAGCATTGAATGGAGTTGAATAAATGGCCTAGGCGGGCGCTAGGCGGCCTAGGCGGGCGCTAGGCGGCCTAGGCGGGGGCTAGGCGGGAGCTAGGCGGCCTAGGCGGGGGGCTAGGCAGGGTAGGTGGTCTAGGCGGTCTAGGCGGTCTAGGCAGGCACTGGAGAGAGAGAGAGAGAGAGAGAGAGAGAGAGAAACGAGGATGACGATGGTGCTATGAGGCGAGAGAGATAGAAACGAGGATGACGATGGAGTTATGTTTTAGGGTTTAGACAAGGGCCGTGCGGCTATACTATTTATATAAAAAATAAAAAATAAAAAATAAAAAAGGCCATAGTAAAGCCGTTCGGCTATACGGTTTTTTTAAAATCCCGTGTATAGCCGCTCGGCTATACCAATTGTTTAAAAAAAAAAAGGAACGCATAGCGCCCAATCAAAAGGGTATAGCCGCCCGGCTATCCTAGTTTTTAATAATTAAAAAACCGTAGTATAGCCGTTCGGCTATACGATTTATTTTTTTAAAAAAAAATCTATGTGCATTAGTTTATACTTTATAGATGCTAATTTGCTAGTTTCGATATATATACTTTATAGATTTAAATTTTTGAATATGTATTATTTTTATTCAATAGTATATGAAAATGGGGTGTATAATAAGTGAATTTTATGTGTATTATTGAAAATTTTGTAAAAAATCAAGTCTATTAAACTTGAAAAATACATACGTACGTGTAAAATACGAGTATTAAACATGGAAATGCTAAAAAATTTATACGGCTAATAACTTTGGAAAAGTAAAAACTCAAAAGGGTACAATAGAGACTCTTGTAAAGGCCTAACTGTAATGGAAAATGCTCTAAGCTATCGATAAACAAAAATTGGGGAAAAAAGATAATAGTATCCATGTAAAGAGTATAGCCGCGCAGCTATACTACTTATAAAATACTCTGTATTTTTATATATATATAAAAAAGGCTATACTCTTTATTTTTATATATAAAAAAATCCCGAGTATAGCCGTTCGGCTATACTATTTTCAGTAAAAGAGTTCAAATCTGGCTCAAAACTAAGCACCACAAGATGTGCTAGAGTAAAATAGGATGTGTGACCTCAAACGACATCATTTTAGACTATTAGTTAACAATATCTTCACATCAAAAATAAAACAGCGGATCTGAACTCCATAAGTATGCCAGGAAACTTAGAAAAGGCTTTTACTGTCACTTAACATCAACTGTAAGAGACTTAATGGAGCCAAAAGGATACATATCTCTAAGGACACCCAAACTGCTGCTGCCCATTGTATTCATACTCACAACAGATATTGCCGGGTTAGGGAAAACTTCGAAAGGGTGCTATAGATGTCACTTAACCTCAACTGTAGAGGTCTCCTTGGAGTCAGAAGGATCTACATATATCTCCAAAAGAATGCCAGACTGCTTCCCATTATATTCATAATCACAACAAACAATGATGCCGGTAATTCGTTTCCAAGACTATTCACACCAAAAGAGTAGCTTGTGAGGAAGAAACAGAAGCAAATGAATTTGCCCAAGTGGATGCTGCTCAGCAATCATTCTTTAAGACAAGCAAATCTGACCACAAGAATGCAGACAACCAGCTTGACAATCTGGAGTCATCCATTCAAGATCAGGAAGAACTTCTTGACTGCCTATTTAGGCAGTTGATTAAAACAAGGGTCACCCTCCTCAACATCCTAAACCACTAGATATATATATTAGCTTTTTCAATTTTGTACATGAAAAACATACATGTGTATGGCCCCGTTTGGGATTGTTTTTTTTGGTCAAAAACCTACTTCACTTTAAAGTTAAGCAGTTTAAGATGGTTGGTAAATCTAAAATATCCCAATTATTTTAAAAGCAGTGGCCTTTTGACAGCAGCTTTTAAAAGCAGGCTATGGGTTGCTTTTCAAAGCTGCTTTCAAAAGAAGCAGAGATGAGCAGTTAATAAATTTTTTCAACTCCCAAAACACCATCATTAAATTTTTTTTAAAGACACCACCTCCACCTCCACATCCAACACCACCATCTCCATCACCACCTTCACCACCACCGACCGCCACAGCCACCACCACCTCCTTCTCCGCCACCATTACCACCACAACCATGCCACCACCGCCACTACCATCTCATCCTTAACCTCCACCACCATCACCTCCACAACCACTACCTCAACCTTCATCACCACCACCTCTTTCTCCGCCACCATCACCACCTCCTCCTCAACCTCCACCACCAACACCATGACCATCATGCCACCACCGCCATCGCCATCACCATCTCATCCTCAACCTCCACCACCATCACCTCAACAACCGCCATCCCCACCACCACTACCTCAACCTTCATCACCACCACCTCTTTCTCCGCCACCATCACCACCTCCTCCTCAACCTCCACCACCAACACCATGACCATCATGCCACCACCGCCATCGCCATCACCATCTCATCCTCAACCTCCACCACCATCACCTCCACAACCGCCATCCCCACCACCACTACCTCAACCTTCATCACCACCACCACCACATCCCTTTCCTTCTTCGTGACCATCACCATCACAACCACCACCTCCTTCTCTACCTCCACCTCCACTACCAACACCACCATCACCACTCTACCACGGCCACGGCCACCTTCTCCTTCTCAACCTCCACCACCATTACCTCCACCTCTCCAACCTCCATCCCCACTACCACAACCACCACATCCACCTTCATTACCACCTCCACCACCATCTTCACCTCCATCTCTTTCACCACCACCTCCACCACCATTACTACTACCACATAATTAGCGCATATCAATTTCAACAGTCTATTTAGTCATTATTCACAGTTACAACATTTTTATATTAAAATTTACCAAACGGTTTTGACACTGCTTTTTATACTAACAGCCACTTTAAAAATATTGTTTACCAAACATGTAGCTGCTTTACTTTACAGCTAATTATTTTCAAAGCACAGCATAAGCAACTTTTTTTTAAAGTGACAGCAATCCCAAACTGGCCCTATGACAGACCATCCTCTGGATATCAAATTGATTATACAAAATGATTACTCATTTGCTTAATTGTCAATTATTAATATTCGCATTCGTTTTCGGAACCATTGAAACAAAAATTCTACCATTTCCATCTCTTATCATCTATCATCTATACTTGGTCTAATTACAAGAGAAGATGAGTTAACTCTCAAACCTGAGGTAAACTCAGAGGAGTATCGAAAACCAGAGCAAAAAAAAGGTTTTGGTTCAATTGAGACAGTCTAGCGAGCCATGATGGATCCAAGTGACCACCGACCCGTTATCCTTCCACTGCCAAGAGCGGGAGGTAGTCGTTGCTCTGTGAAGCCAGCCTTACGCGGTTCCCTCCGCTCTAGAAAACAAGTGACCCAGAGCCTTCGCTCGAGCCACAGGGTTTCAACTCTTGGCTTGGAATGGGCGGGCCAGTAGATAGCCAACCTGAAACCGCCCCGCTAATACTGAGCCAATGTTCCTGCACCTCAAAGCCCCCACTCGGGTCACAAGCTCGCTTTACAGAGCTCGGCGGTACAAACACCTCGTGCAGGGGTTATAAAGCGTAGTGTGTGATATGAACCAAGCAATGTGGGACAAGTTGCACTCGCTTTGCCTCTTAAGATCAGATCTTGAATAAGCTCAGAATTTCGTCTATACTTTTAAGTGGCGATTTAGGGAGTTGAGTGTTGAAGATTCTATTTCTCTAAAGGAAGATAACCAATAATAAACACTTCACATTCAAAGGAGACTAAAAGAAAGTTTATAGTGTTGCTTGATTCTTGTGGATGCTAGAGGATCCTCAAGACCTTGTTATTGGTAACGTTGGTTGGTGAAAAATAGTAACATTAGTTCAAACATTGACATACACAATTTTCTCCCAGGAAACAGTAAACACAGATCTCACACCCTTCCGACTATAATGAAAATTATGTTGCTTTTCTTTCTATTTGCTAATTAACCAGCAACTCACCCTTTTTCAACATTATAGAAACACAATGGACGGTGACATTTTAATGCAGAATATTGCATATTTGTAGATCATGCCTCCTCCTTGGCAAACAATCATGTGAATGAAGGACCTGAAAACAAGATGAATTAAACTAATCATATGCGTTGATCAGCATAATTCAGTTAAATGGTTTTTGCCTCTCCACGTATTTGTGTAAACAGAGACGTCAACGCCACTCGTGGGATCGTATATTAATTATGATTGATTAAATGGTTGTAGCATTTTAATGTGCTAAATTAATCAATTCATGAGTTGGAATGATGGGGTGGGAAGGGACACTGCATAAACATTGCCTAGGGAACATATAGATCCAAATCGAAATCATGTTACCTCTCACTGATGATTGAAGTGGATGAGATTCCATGTCCCCCTCTTCAATCAACACTATATATTAAGCACTCTGAATTGTACATCAATCAAAAGTTTCTAAGTCTTCTGTTCTATCTTCTCACAACACACAAAGAAGAAATGGCTTTCCACACTCGCTCTAACAGCTTCCCTTCAATGCCACACCCGATCGTTCAAGAAGTTGACGAACATTTGTGTAGACTGAGGTCTTCTGAGGCCGCCTCCACATCTTCATCATCAATATGCCACAAACTAAGTGACCTCCAAGACTTGCATGATTGTGTTGATGAGTTGCTTCAGTTGCCTCTCACACAACAAGCCTTGGCCAAAGAGCAGAATGAGAAATGGACTAATGAGCTATTAGATGGCTCTCTCAGGCTCTTGGATGTTTGCAGCAGCGCCAAGGATGCTATCTTGCAAACCAAGGAATGCGTACAGGATCTTCAATCTATCATACGAAGAACACGAGGAGGTGAATCTGGAGCACTCACCAGTGAGGTTAGGAAATACTTAACCTCCAGGCAGATGGTGAAAAAGACAATCCAAAAGGCTATGAAGAATCTCAAGGGAATCGAAAACAGATCCACCTTCTCTTCCCCAAACCAGGACAATGAGTCTATTGCCATTGTTAACAAGTTGAGAGAAGTTGAAGCAGTCACTCTTGCAGTGTTTGAGTCACTGCTGTCCTTCATCTCTGGACCAAAATCACAGCCAAGGAGCTGGTCATTGGTCTCCAAGATGATGCACTCCAAAAAAGTTGCTTGTGAGGAAGAAATAGAAGCCAATGAATTTGCACAAGTGGACGCTGCATTGAACTCACTCATTGGACACAAGACAAGCAAAACTCAAAACAAAAGTGTCGAAAATGCACAGAACCAGCTCGAGAAGCTGGAGTCATGCATTCAAGACCAAGAAGAAGGAGTTGAGTGCCTATTTAGGCAATTGATCAAAACAAGAGTCTCCCTCCTCAACATCCTTAACCACTAGAGAGATATTAGCTTTTTCGATTCTGTACATGAAAAACATACATGTGTATACTACAAATACATCCTTTGATATCAAATTGATACAATCTATTGAGTAAATTGATAAACTTATTCCACAACAATAATGAAAAAATTTCTCTGTTTTTCAAGATTGAATTCTTAAGTTTAAGTCACGTTCATCATAAAAGTAGTTAGAGAAATAAATATTAATTTAATAATCATCTAGATTTAATATCAGAGTTCAGAGCTGTCAAGATTCTTCTTGTGTCGAGAAAAATTATCACATTCACATTCACTCACCAAAGTTGAATGGCATTTACATTAAAATATGAACAGAGATTATATACGTGTTAAGCAATGGAAACAGTGCTGGCTAGTTTTCTGTTGCAGGGACAATAGAATCAATTACCAATCTCATGCTGTTCCTCCACATCATGGAAAACGCATACTAAACTCATCTTTGTTGTTTTTGTCTGCCTCTCACACAACAATCAACCTTAGGAGTTTGAAGATTTCAACAAGCAAACCATCTTCAAAAAAATATGGTGAACCTCCATGAAAAGGGCCAAACCAAGTTTCAAATGGGCTGAAACACTATTGTCTGTTCATCTTGATAAAGAAAGCCCAAATCCACTCAAAACCCAAGTGAGATTTTGTGATTTTGTTAGAGAATATAGGTATAATATGGAATGATTCCTAAGTATATGCCAAATCATATGCTTAACAAATGATGTCACTCATTATGATATTGGGGTGGGAGATGGGGCATTTCCAACCGAAAACTTATATGAAACGGATATAGCATTGTTTTGCTATCTCCGGCCAATCACGCTATGTCAAATGGATAAATTATTATGCGCGGCATAACCTGATTAGTCGAGTATAGCAAAACAATGATATCCTCATTGCACACTAGTGTTTCTTCATTTCCAACTTTGAAGCTTATTTTATACTTCTTTAATGTCATTGTTTGTCCTTAAAGGACTTGTACCTCAAGTGATTAAGAACAATTATTTTTGCATTCGAAGTTTTAAGTTTGAATCCCCTCTCTCAATTTATTGCTCGTATAAATAATCAAATGTTATTGTTTGCCCACTTTTGTATTTGCAAATTACACTCTGAATCAAAGACGTGGAAATTCAAAAGGAGCTATGCAAATATTGGGTTTGACCCGGATCCTAAGCCGGAAAGTGCAATTAATAAGATGGAAAAAGTAAAAAAGATGATTTGATTTCTGTCAGCCAAGACAAAATGAAATCATGTTCCTTAATTTTGCTTAATTAGAAACAAACATACAACTTATTTGCAAGCAGACAAGCACGAAGTCATTTTCATAGTCCTAAGTTGTGTCCAAGATAAGGATAATACTATAATCCACACGTTCGTTTTGGACATCAATTCATTATCATTAAAGTTCTCTCCAAACACACTTTTATTAAAATTTGTTTTGGTTTTTAGTTTGTAACACTAGGTAATTAAAGTTGTCCAAGTGCAAGGCATCGAAACCTAATTCTGAAATTCTTATACGATTCAATTCCTGAAATTCTGTGTACTTTATGTCTCTATTTACTAGATAAGATCAGAGAATCTGTTCTTCCCACCAATATTGACTAAATGCACGAAAAGAATTGGATAATTCATGAAACTACCCAAAAAGAAAAGAAAAAAAGCCTCTTAATTCCTCTGTTCCTCCACCCTATATATACACCCATGCATCCACTGATCCTTTTAAAAACTCAACCAAATATCACAAACAAATTGACACAACAATGTGGTGCTTTCTTTTGGCATTTGTTTCTCTTTTGCTGTTGTCCTCCATCCAAGGAGGCACAGCAGAGCAGTGTGGGAGGCAAGCAGGGGGTGCTCTGTGTCCAGGAGGGCAATGCTGCAGCAAGTATGGGTGGTGTGGCACGGCACCTGATTACTGCAGCACAGGTTGCCAAAGCCAATGTGGCGGCGGTGGTGGTGGCGGTGACATTGGTAGCCTTGTGTCACGTAACACCTTTAATCAGATGCTTATGCATAGGAATGATGGTGGTTGCCCAGCTAAGGGGTTTTATACCTATGATGCTTTCATTGCAGCTGCCAAGTCCTTCCCTAACTTTGCCAAAACTGGAGATGCTGCCACCCAAAAAAGGGAAATTGCTGCTTTCTTAGCTCAAACTTCACATGAAACTACAGGTCAGTAATTCAAATAGTATTATCAATTTACCATATCAGAAATATACACAAGGGATTGATTTTCATTTCATACAAACTATATGTAACACTGTAATTAACTACCCTTTATTTTTTTTGCAATCCGATTCATTTATTTTATTTGTCTCAACTAAATTACTTACTTTGCATGATGATTATATGTAAATGTCCAGGGGGTTGGGCAAGTGCACCTGATGGACCATACTCTTGGGGGTATTGCTATCTCAAGGAACAAAACCCTGGATCTTATTGTGCCTGGGATCCTAATTATCCATGTGCTGCTGGTAAGCAGTATTATGGCCGTGGTCCAATTCAACTGTCTTGGTAAGTACATCTAATTAAATTCTTTATCGTTTAAGTTATCAGGAAATTTTAAGTGTAATTGGTTGTATACAATTATGTGTCCGTTTATTACATGATTATATACAAACGGCGGTGATACGGAAATATATATTATCATGAATTATGTAGCTAGAATAATTATGTGTATTTGGACTATAGGAACTACAACTATGGACAGTGTGGAAAAGCAATAGGGGCGGACCTGTTGAACAACCCGGACCTAGTTGCTACAGACCCTGTTATTTCATTCAAGACAGCACTCTGGTTCTGGATGACCCCTCAGTCACCCAAGCCCTCATGCCATGATGTGATCACCGGGAGATGGAACCCGTCTGGAGCCGACAAGTCAGCCGGTCGGGTTCCCGGTTACGGGGTCACTACAAACATCATTAACGGTGGACTTGAATGTGGTAAAGGCTGGAACGCTAAGGTGGAGGATCGCATTGGGTTTTATAAGAGGTACTGTAACTTGCTTGGAGTTGGCTATGGCAACAACCTTGACTGCTACAACCAGAAACCTTTTGGGTCTGATCTCAATGTCATTCAATTGCCTGAAAATTAGTTGTAATTTGTACCCAATAATGTGTGGTATTTTTTTTTTGGGTGGGGGGGGTGGGGATTGGTGTAACTACTGTTGTGACACATTAATTCATGTGATGGCTAGTTATGAGAATAATTATAACTCTGAGAAATGAAATAATAATGAGCTTTTCATTTAACTTCATGTATGCCAAGAAGGTGTATTCCAATTAAAAAGAATTTTGCCTTGCATATTAGTGGTCTTATCCCCGAGACACTTTTTATTTTTGGTTGAAACCTCCATAGCACCGTGGAGTACTTCCACCCATTTGTCATGGCCAAAGACAAGGTCAAGTAAGGGTGGTTACTGTTCAAATGAATAGTATTTGCCCTAGCAAATTTTTTTTCACCCATTGCCATGGCAACCCAATGGCAATTACTATTCACATCGAATTAATTTTATTTATATGTATGAGATTAATAAATAAATAAAATTGCTAGGTATTTAGAAAAGAAAAAAAATTCCGAATTTTTTGGATTTTTTTCTTCATTGACATCATGCTGGCGTCAACGCCCTCAGGCTTCAACTTGGGCTGTTCTAGCCTTTCGGCCTGCCCAGTCTTGGTGGAGCCCACCATCTGTCTGGGCTCAATTTGATTGGTGGAGTGTGCTTTTGCAGCCCAGGTGGCCTTTTGCCCTGGCAATCCAAACCAGTGGAGCTGCTCTTAGTATTGCGTGTGTGAAAAATTCCCATTTTCCTTGAAGTTTAGATTATCATTGTATTCAAAAATCAAAAAACAAACTTCATGCACGTTATGGTAAATATTTTTTATTTGGAAAATTATAGAAACCGGCCAAATTGGATTGAATTAAATTAATCAATTTGGAGTGATTAGATTTTGAATGCTGACAAATATGGAAAATGTTATTTGGACACCCAGCTCAAAACTTCTTTTGTCAATAATTTCCAATTTTGTACCTATAATTAAGAGGCTAAAGTTGGAATTGGCTTGCAATTTTGGATCAAGGCAAAGCCCCACTTAAAATCTTAACTGTAATTTGAATTTTGATGATCTTTCTTTGTTGGGCCCAAAACGAATAGCAAAACTTGTTATAAGCAACCGGACTTTAAGCCCATATTCAAAGGATAAAAATCAGAGAAGCTCAAAGTGAAACAAAATAAACCTTCCATTACTAAATTTTCAGACCCATTTGTCCATGGCACCTCTCCTCCTACCTACCCACTAGGTCCATTACAGAAAATGTATATCTATGTATACGGATAAGATACTCATTGCTCTCTCTCTGGAGAGGGGGAAAAAAAAACCCAAGAATGAAAGAAAAAAAACAAAAACAAAAAGGCTAAAAGCCGTTCCTTAACGAGAACGTCAAACACTTGGAACATTGACAGTAGTTATAAGCATCTCTGAGTGAGGGATGAGATAACGCCTAAGCTGTAAGCCAAATTTATCTACAGGACCAAACTTTATTTGACCCTACACATCAAACTAATTCATTAGAATTTAGAAGTTGAGAAGGTTGGGCAAAGGGGTCAGGCTTTGAAGCCAAGGGCTATTCATTTGGGTCCAAAATGTGTCCTGGGTCCAGTCCATGCTCAATCTTGGCACTTGGAGCTCTGGCAATATGTATGTAGGAGGAGGAGGAGACCCTTTGATCTCCATTGCCTTCTCTTCCTTTGGCTCTTTTGCTTCTGTTAGTGATGCATCTTCCATTTCTTGCTTCAATACCACATAGTTTTTGGGCATTTGTAGAGTCAGATCTTCCTGTGGTTGGCTGCAAAATGAGATGGTCTCCATTGATGTTGGAGGAGATGATGTGTTTGGAGAAGCATGAATGTTCTTTATCTCTTCCTCCATTGCTGCCCTTTGCTCTAGGACTTTCAAGGAAGTTGCCTTCCTATATATCTTGCATAGCACTATGTCCTGCATTTACAAATTCAAGAAAAATGCCATTAGATCACTATCCAATTAAATGCGAACTGACCTATATATCAAACTACCTAATCAAAGATTAGTCATCAAATTTCAGGTGACACCCATCTATTAAGTTATGTCATTTTAGTAGTGTAATTAACAACTGAGACCCGAATTAGATGTGAAAATAAATAAGATCAAACTAATTGCACCAAAATTAATCGAGGGTAATTGTTGTTTATATCGGCCGATAGTGTCAAAATTTATTGTGTGCGCCTGAAACACTGCGCCCACTCTCACACATAATATATGATACTTATCATAAAATAATGAGGTGTCACCCGCCAATTATTCACCAAGCAAATACAAACACTGTGTGCACTCAATGACAAGGAAAATAAACCCATAGGACCAAATTTAAGAATTTTCATGGAAACTTCCCAAGATATATTTAAGCGTATGGAGATAGATGCTTAAGACTCGTTTTTCTTGGAGACTCCTTGATAATGCTTAGACTTAATTACAAACTTTGCTTCTTCCCCTATAGTTTTTGAAACTTTGCAAAAGAGAATTAACTTTTTGTTAAGACTTTGTGATATAATTAAAAGTCAGCATGTATTAGATTCGAAACATTACCAGAAAAAATAAAATTGCCAACCATTACCTTGAGATAGTGGCAGTTATCAGGCAAACGATACTCGTTCATGACCCAATCAGTCTTGGTTCCTCTTGGGGCTCTGCCTTTGTAAAAAACAAGAGTCTTTCTGAGCCCAATGATCCTCTTTGGATCTGAGAGGCTCACAATTTTGCGGTCAGAGCCAGTGGCTTTCCAGAACCCAGTTTCAGTGGTTCTGTTAGGTCTTCCTCCACTGCCATGCTTCCTGTCCCTTGGCACAAAAAAATACCACTCTCTTTCTCCAATCTTCGACAACCCTACAAGTAATTAATCAAACAACCATTAATTAACAACACCATTACAATTAATTAAGCAAATAAAACCATGCATATAACTTAACTAAACCAAGTAATGAAAGTTTACCAGGCAAGTCCCAAGGGTCATGGTGGTAGATATTGAGAAAACCAATTATGTCAAAACGCTGTCTCTTTCCAAGAACCACGCTCTTGAGGTAGAATTCAAGAAGTTCTTCTTCTGTCGGGTGGAATCTAAATCCTGGAAGTTCAAATTCTGGGGTCATTTGTTCTTGATCCTTAGTGTTGGCTGCCATTGAAAATGTTGGTGACTATAAATAGTGTAGCTTCTGCTTCTGCTTTCTGCTTTCTGCCTTCTGCTTCTGCTTTCTACTTAGCTCTCTATTAATGTTGGTTGGTTGCACTTGAGACGTATACACTCTCCACAGATTGTATTTATAAGGGGCGGGATTGGAGTGCATAGCCATATGGACTCTTCATGATTTTATATGTTGGTCTGATGGAGAAGCTGTGGGACCCATTGGACTGAGTCTGCAATCACCAGTCTTTAGAAAATTGGAGTTATATGGGACTTGGGGCCCCCACAAACATGGTGGAACCCACGCGGTTTTGTAAAGTCATCAGAAATGGTGACAACGATTCTTTTAAGTCTTTGCCATTTTTTTGCTTGACTTCCATTTTCTTGCGATTTTGGACTTTTACTTGGAAATTCCGGGCAGAATGGAGCAATTTTCCAAGCAAATTTTCTACCACAAAATATTGATTTTTTTTGCAAGCAAATTATGAATGACGAAAAATACAGAGCTTCAATGTTCAAAGAGGGGCCAGCAAGTCCATGGTCCATTCAATCTTTTTAGTATCAGTTTGAGCAAGTCCAATTTTTGCTTGAGTCTCCTCTTGATGCTTAGAATCAAATACAAAATGTCACCAACACCATAACCTTCTAGTTAATTTGGATATCCCGACGCTTGTTGAGTTTCCTCCTCCTTTCCTTTCACATGGACTGAGAAAAATGAGGTGCTTTGCATGCAGCATTTGGAACAGAGAGAACTTTGGACGCAAAGTTTATAAATAGTATATGCCATAATTTCATATCATAGAAATAAAAAATCTTACAATATTGAAACCACTTTTACATCAATAACTTATTAACAACATATCAAAAAATATGTATACAGATGACAAAAATCAGAGAAGTACCTCAATCATCATTAGACAACCGCTAATTTCAAAAGCTTATCTGTTAGAAAATGGACTAACAATATATATCAAGCTTACACCCTCTTACACGGAGAGACATATCAATCGAAAAAAAGAGACAAACATATAAGTTTCACATCCAACCATAACAAAAACTTAAGACATGGGCTAGAACTTTAGTTGTTAGAGAGGGTAGAACCACTTCCAACCATAACAAAAACATCTAAGTTCTAACACAAAACATAGAGATCAAAATGAGAAAGCAACTTATGATCCAACCAGAACAGTTGTAAATCCTTCATGCAAGTTGTATTAGACATGTTACAATATAATTGACCGGAAAAGATAAAAAAAAGACATTTTAACACTTGTCGAATTTCTTTTCTTTTTTTTTCTTCTTTTTTTTAATACTTTGTCAATTTTGCTTGAATTTGACAATTGTCAAAATCCCATTGGTTTTAAACTTTTAAGGAGGTGCTCCTCCTCGATTTTAAAGAGTCAAGCCATGCTAATAAAATTGTTGCAAGAATATTAATAGTTTTTTATTTTTGATCGACAAGAATATTCAATTCTTCCAACTCTCTAAGTTAATTTATATCAGAAAAATCTCGACAAGAATATTCAATTCTTCCAACTCTCTAAGTTAATTTATAACAGAAAAATCTAGAATCTATTCCTAACTTAAATCATATTAAAATAAAAAAGTATATTTCGAGGGAGTGCAAGCAAATGGAATTTTTTCGATTTAGCTCGATTAAAAATGGAACAAAATTGGCTCCTTAAAATTGAGGAGTAGCTCATCCTTCAAACAAATGGAATTTTGACACTTCTGAAATTCCTTTAACTTCTTTTCTTTTGAATTCCTTAAGTCAAAAGTCCATTTGTTTTGAGGAGGAGCTTCTTCATAGTTTGAAGGAGCCAAACCATGCTCAAATTTTAAAGAAAAATACTTACCTCCTTTCTTGGAAGTAGGAGCTCCTACGTTCTTGCCAATCACAGTTTGACATGTGTGTAGAGATTTTTCTTTTTATGTTTTTGAAACATTGTTTTTGCATATGTGTCAAACTATGATTTTAAATTGTTTTTGCAAGTTGTAGGAATGTCTCCTTACATGAAATGAGGGAAGCAGTGTCCAACTTTAAATTGTTTGAGAAGGGAGCTACCTGAGGTGGGTTGACTTGACATGACAGGGCCTTAGATGTTAATCATTAAAAACAAGTTTTTTTTCTTTGTTGTGGCCAAATCAAGTGCTAATTAATTAACAAAATATTGAATTATTTAGGCAAATTGCACCTAATTGATCAATTATAATTGGTGACCTTCAATCTTCATACCAAAAAGTCTAAGATGACTATGTGGCCATTGACAGAGACTTGACCACAAACAAAAAGCAAACAAGTATGAGTTTCCAAAGTGTGTTAATTCAAAGCAACTCCGCGTTGTTTACAGCCTTCTTTTCCATACCAAATTATTAACTCATAATTAAACAAAGCTTTCTTTTAGAATAAAACTTGTATTTTCATTCTTCTTTTCTTTGGTGGCTTCGTTTTTATGGGAATTTGACTTGGAAGTCTTCTCTAAAGACTTCAAGTCTTCTCGTTTTATAAGTAAACGATAAGCCTCACCAACATCCATGTCCTTCCTAAGGTCTCTTAACTTCTTGTAGTGCCCCTACCCTATGCTTTGAGACCTTTTTTTTTACTTTTAGCTTTAAGCAGAAAAAAAAAACTTCAAGTCTTCTCGTTTTATAAGTAAACGATAAGCCTCACCAACATCCATGTCCTTCCTAAGGTCTCTTAACTTCTTGTACTGCCCCTACCCTATGCTTTGAGACCTTTTTTTTTACTTTTAGCTTTAAGCAGAAAAAAATATATTAAATAAATAAAGTTACAAATTTAATTACCATTTATGTGCCCGTAGCTTTCTCTGTTATTTCCTGGAAACTTTCTGAGTCTTTGGAGCAGTACTTTAAGCTTTCCTAATGTATTTGAAATTCAATCCAATCATGTTTCACATCAAATAATAGAACCAAAATTTCCTAATGTATTCTTTCTCGCATGATGATCGGGGATCGCGTGTATATTCATGATGCGGATGCATTGGCTTCTTCATTCATGGAACTTTGGGATAAGAAACCCTTGTTTTTTTCTTTAAACACGATGTATTGGGATTTATTTTTGGGGGAGTTGCAAATCAGATTGTGAGTTTGATTTGAGTATTCAAATGAAGTGAGCGTCGAACTCTCTTTTTTTTACTTCTTTCTCTTCATCAAGAGTTATTTGGTTGTTTTGTTCTTCTAGTTCTCTACTTGTTAGGGCGGCACTAGAAATAAAGCTTCAGAGTTTCAGGTCTCTCCTAGCACTTAGAGGTAACCCTATTCATGCCAGCTACAAAAAGACTGCAAAAAAGTTGCAGCCCCGCAGAGAAGTCAGTCGTGTGTGTGGAATTATTAAGTCAAGCTTTAAAATGGGAGGTTGATTGGCATCAAAATCTAGACACTAGTGAAGCTATTGTTCCGGCGCAATTGGGGTTTGGGAATAATTTTGGACCATCATTACAATCCCTTAAATTTTCTTGTTTTCAGAATGGGAACCAAATGTTCTTTTCTTACTCGTTTTTGTTCCGTATGGTCGTAACATGTTGTATTCTTTTCCAAGGTTTCATAATGAAAACCCGACTACTAATTGGATGCAAAGCTCTAGAAAGTTGTCATCCATATATGAAGTCAAGTCCCATGCCATTAGAACCAGAGCACTAAGGCTTGATCAAAGATTGATGTTTTTATTCTAGCAAGTGCTATGTATTTGGCACCGAGATCCTTAGACTATTAGACTATTCATGAATCATGATTATAGAGAGAAGAGCATCATTTGGGTTTTGAGATAGCAACTTATTAAATTAATTTTTGTACACTAAATTAATGCGACAGTGATTCATTTGTTTTTATTTTGAGTTAACTCTGAATTTTATTTGTTCGCACACATAAGAAATTGTCTTATTCTATTTATTTTTTGTAAAAGGGAATAATTGAAAGCATGGGACTATTGCATGTGGCCTATCAAAATTGAACAAACAAAGAGATAGAACGAAGGCCAATTGCATTCACAAATTGTAATTATCCCCCAGCGATTTGTGGAAATAATGTCACATTTATCAAAGATATCTTCATCAATCTTGATTAACACGTAAACCTTTCGATATCTGAAAGCTGGTGTAGGTTTGTGTCTCTAGTATAATTGACCAGTTCTATTTATCACTAAGAGCATTTTAACTCCCTTTCCATGACAAGGGGCAAAAGCAAATAAGGACAGTTATTGTTCACATGAATAGTATATGCCTTAGCAATTTTCTTTTGTTTTTCCACCCATTGCCATGGCAACCCCAAAGGCAATTACTATTCATGTGGGATTAATTTTATTTATACGTAAGATTAATAAATAAATAAATTGCTAGGTATTTATAAATAAAAAATTCTGAATTTTTGGATATTTCTTTTCATTTTTTTTCTTCGTTGACGCCAAGCTGGCGTTAGAGCTAATGTGATCGCCCTCGGGGGGCCTTTTTCCCTGACAATCCAAACCGGTGGAACTACTCGAAGTAGGTTTGTGTCTCTAGTATAATTGACCAGTTCTATTTATCACTAAGAGCATTTCACTCCCTTTCCATGACAAGGGGCAAAAGCAAATAAGGACAGTTATTGTTCACATGAATAGTATATGCCTTAGCAATTTTCTTTTGTTTTTTCACCCATTGCCATGGCAACCCCAAAGGCAATTACTATTCACATGGGATTAATTTTATTTATACGTAAGATTAATAAATAAATAAATTTCTAGGTATTTATAAATAAAAAATTCTGAATTTTTTGATATTTCTTTTCATTTTTTTTCTTCGTTGACACCAAGCTGGCATTAGAGCTAATGTGATCGCCCTCGGGGGGCCTTTTTCCCTGACAATCCAAACCGGTGGAACTACTCGAATGAAAGGGAATAATGGAAAGCAGATGACTATTTTCCAATCACATGGAATAATGGAAAGCAGATGACTATTTTCCAATCACATGGAATAATGGAAAGCAGATGACTATTTTCCAATCACATGGAATAATGGAAAGCAGATGACTATTTTCCAATCACATGGAATAATGGAAAGCAGATGACTATTTTCCAATCACATGGAATAATGGAAAGCAGATGACTATTTTCCAATCACATGGAATAATGGAAAGCAGATGACTATTTTCCAATCACATGGAATAATGGAAAGCAGATGACTATTTTCCAATCACATGGAATAATGGAAAGCAGATGACTATTTTCCAATCACATGGAATAATGGAAAGCAGATGACTATTTTCCAATCACATGGAATAATGGAAAGCAGATGACTATTTTCCAATCACATGGAATAATGGAAAGCAGATGACTATTTTCCAATCACATGGAATAATGGAAAGCAGATGACTATTTTCCAATCACATGGAATAATGGAAAGCAGATGACTATTTTCCAATCGCATGTGATGTATCAAAATTGAACCCCAAAAAAATGAGAGAACAAAGGCCAATTGCATTCTCAAATCGTAACTAGCTGCCAACAATTTGTGGAAATAATGCCATATTTATTAGAGATGTCTTCATCAATCTCGATCAATATGTAAATGTGGTGCAAATAGTTTTGTCGTTGGTCTTGCTTCAAACAATTTTGCTTAATCAGAAAATAAAAGTTCATGAATGTTGGTTGCATTCATTTTTACAATATCTAAGAGTACCACTATTCAGATTTCACAATTGTTGATAAATGGTGTAGTGAGTAGTTATATAATGGTCCCCTCACTTTCTGCTAGAGCCACCATGCACCCTGCTCTTGCGGGTTGATGATCAATACTCTCTCTCTCTCCTCCAGACTGCCTTGAGCTGAGACAAAGCTTTTGCAAGAGCATCACTCTATTCTGTTCTGTGCATCATCATTTGCCTTTGGCAAGGGACATCAGGAGGAGGACCAAACTGTGAGAGCAGAGCAGCTGCACACAACATATGGCAAAGGAAAGGACAGCCACTTACTAACTAAACCCATCATCCCCCAAGCATCAACCTTTTAGCATACTCGTTTTGGTAAACCGTGCTCAAGCTTTATATATGCATTTGAACAATCACAAAAAGTGAAGTTTCCGGCGAAGAATCACAAGGAGAATTAAATAAATAAGTGAAGATTCGTTTGAGCAATTCTATTAACACTCACTAAAACAAGAAAGACTTTTATGAAACGGGAATATGCTATTTCCGGTCAATAACATTATGACAAGCATGATAACACTTCCACATAAAATGTAAATAATCCAAAATTTACTATATTTTTGTTTACTCAAAACATTCTTTGTACTTGTTTTTTTGGGGGTAAGAAAACATTCTTGATAATTTCAAAAAATATCCTTTCATGTGATTTTCTCACTCAGGAATACCGCCATGCCGTTGATATTGACACAGGCCTTTTTGGTAATTTAGCCCCTATGTTTTTTCCGAGGGCAGTATCGTAATTTAAATAAACCCGCGTTCGAGTCTCCCACCTTCAACATTCTCAAGTCAATAGTCCCAACGTCTCCTGCCGTCACCCAGTCTTCGGCTCTCAACTCGACAAAATTGGCGGCGAAGGAAAATTGGTTATCGCCGCCGGTAAGTCATGCCGTTTCTTCTCCAATTTTTCATGAATTTTCTTGTTTGTTTTTTGAGACAAATTTGGGAAAGAAGAGACAACAAAATGTTGGCCTCTGCATTAGCACAAAATTTGAGTCTGATATTAATTTCTGTCATCAGGAGAGCAAAAAGATAAAAACTTTCATCTGGGTACAAGTCATATTAGGGATTTTTGACGTTAATTGGTTCCAAGTTGAGTTTTTGAGGCTTGATCTTGCCGTTGTTGGAACTTTCTGAGAATGGTTCATATTTGGATAGTAGTGCTGTTAATAAAGTTGTCTTCTTTGTCTCCGAATTCTCATTTCTATAGTGGTCGTGTTGTTCATCTCATCCATTCTGTTGATGTTGTTGATAATGATTGTTTAAACTCAGAAATGATTCTACAAATTACTATATACAGATAAGATTGTTAGTTGGGTTTTAACACGTGAGCCATCAATATAAGTAGACTTTGAGGACCTGAAAAAATTCTAACCCAAAGCTATAAGTTTTTGAAAACTGTTGTAGATTCACTCAATCAACAGCCAAATAGCTATAATTTTTCATTTTTCATTACTGTGCATTTCTTAGATTCTTTCTAATCATTGTTTTTTTTCCATATGGTATGTTCTTATTGAGCTATTTTGTGATAGTAGCTGTTTGCTAGTTACGGGGTTTTTTCTGTTGTTGATCTGGATCTTGATTTGGTAGTTTTTTGTTGGAATCATGGCTGTAATTAAGGATGATTGTGTGTTTAAATTGTGAAATTTTAGTTTGGATGAAAGCCTTATGTGTTTTCTTCGAATTGGACTTGGAAACAGGAACTTAGTTTACAGATACCATGGTTGAGCAAGTTAAGAAAGGAAATACGAACAACATAACTTTTAAAGGGCATGCTACTTTCACTAATGTAAAGAACATGCCGATTAACGATCAGATCCAGTTTGAAGTACTGCAATAGCATCACCTGATGTTTGAGACGATATGAGGGTAAGTTCATAATGGTTTTACATATATTTTTTCTCTCTTTTCCTAGCATAAAGGTGCAAAACATGTTCTGTTGTATTATTGCATATTTATGCGCAGATAGGTTCATCCGCAAGCTGAAAGATTTCGTGTTGATGAATTGGTGATTGGATTGCCTTAACTATGTGAAGGGACACAACTGCTATACACAAAGGTATTTGCGAGGACTTGAGATTATCCCGGACTCGAGCTTCCTCCCTTGATGATGGCATTCATAAATTGAAGGAAGAATGAGGAGGTCAAGGTGATCATAGATGCCAAAGATATCATTCTCCCAGTAAAAGTGCCGGACGTTTGTGACATCAATCAAGGGCATCAATGGATTGGACTTGCCTACCGTATTTGAAGGCATTTAAAAATTTTGCAGAAAGCAAATGGTTGGATAGTGTAGTAGTTTATCTTCCTATTTAGATGTGTGACCATTTTCATCTATGTTTTGTAGGTGAGTGTTTTATATGACATGATCGCATAGTGCATAATTATAATATGAAGCTTTTCTTGACATACATGAAACTAGATTTTGCTAATAAAGAATCTGAAGAACAAAGAACTTCCGGCTTCAGAATTATATATATTGCAGCTGCTTCTATATAGAAATGAGAACCAAATTAAGAGGAGCTGAATATATGTGTTGATGGTGATTGCTTTGCTGGGATTTTTTCTCTGAATTCGCAACTTTTCTGAAATTAAAAAAATGCAGTTGATAATTGAAAACGAGGCTTCACTTATTGATGAGTGAGAAGTGATTACGACAAATGTATAAGGTTTTGTTTTTTTATTGTATGATATTTTATTGAATCAAATTGATAAGAGACATGTGAGATAGAATGAAAAATGTTTAATAATAATAAAGCTCTTGTGAGATTTGCTGATCGCATCAGGCAGTCAACAAATCTAAAAGGTATCACACACATCGCGTATATAGGACGTCACAAAATATCCTTTATGCTCCAAAGTTGATTTTAAAGATACTTATGATTTGGGTAAAGAAGATTAATTAATAAATAAACAAAAATATCTTATTAACCCCTTTTTTTTTTTTTTAATGAAGAAAAGTTGGGGGAAGGGAGACCACCCAATCTCAAGACCCGAATATATATCAAGGCCTATTTTAGTCTTTTTCTATTTTTACAGATTATTCTCACAAAGAGGGATTATCGATAGTAAAACTTAAACTCATACCTGGATAACGAAGAAAACAATTCTTACCAACTCAAACAACTCTCATTGTCACCCAATTTTCATTTTGATTACAATGTTACTAGCTTTTGTTTTATACCAATAACAAAGGGAAAGATTTTCTAAACAAATTGTTTTTTTTCCCAAACGATGACTCTAAAAGGTAACATCTGAAAAAGTATAACATAGAACGACCAAAAGATTGAAAAAGTTAAAAACAACAAATAAAAAAGCTGTAGGGTAGTACAGTCTGGTCACTAATCAAAAACCCAACCCAAACCAAACACAAGGTTGGCAAAAAGGGACCCACACCTCCTCTCTAAACCCATGTGGGCCCCATCTAACTCAAGGTCCCCAAATGAAGCAAAATGTTTAAATCATCTTCGCAGCCTCACCACTACCACAGTACCTTAAAACTTGCAGAGAAAAAAGAAGGAAATTATAACACCACCAGTAATGGCATGCATGCCCAAGAGAGCAATGAAAATAGAGAGAATAAAGCTGCTCCTGGTGCTGCTATTTTGGACCTTGCTTCTTGTTCTTTCTTTCTATGTAATCTTTGTGCATAAAATCCAGAGATCACAAAATACAAGCTTAATGATAATGCAGACTTGAAGATAAAGATAGGCCCTTTCTTTTTGATAAACTAATTTAAAACATACAAAAGAAAAGATTTTGGACCAGTCAGTGTTTGTTTTTCCTTTTTATCTCCTTGTCAATCAAACCTTGTCATACCATTATGGTATGGCTGGTCTTGTTATGACCAAAATCAGACAGCAAAAGCAAAGCAAAGAGCCTAAACCACCTTTTTTCCCTAACTTTCATCCTTTTTTTCATTTGTCTACTCTTTACAAAGCTATCTCAGTCTGCAAAGTAGCTGCTCCATTGAACCCCACCTGTTGCTGCTGCTGCTGTTGTTGCTCAACCTCCCATCTTGCTTTGGCTATGGCTCCATCATGCACAGGCACGTACTCCTAAAACCCCAAAAAACCAAAAATACAAAAGAGCCATCATTTACAACCCAACAAATCCAAAAGGAAATGAAGCACCAAAATGGTAATTTGATCAAGATTCTCTTCCTAATCACTCGACAGTCTATTTTTCCATTTTTGAGCTTCAAAATCATGGAAATCTGCACAGAGTGTTTGACAGAAATGAAAATAATTTGAAGTCACGCTCATACAAGTCACAAACAAACACACAAACCTCAAGTTTTTGAACAAGCTCTTTGGCATTGGGGGCAGAGACTATGATGTGGCGCTGAGAAGGCTTGATAAAGCCATCATCCACGGCTTTGTCAATAAAAGTGAGAAGGTAGTTGTAGTAGCCATCAACATTGAGCAAACCCACCTGCAAAAATTGTTGGCATGGAATAAAGTTTCAAACTTCAAGGACAAGACTTTGATTGCTCATCACTGTTTTGCTGGTGGGTTTTTTCATATGGTCTTACAGGTTTGTCATGGATACCAAGCTGTGCCCAAGTGATCACTTCTAGCAACTCCTCCAAAGTTCCATATCCACCTGATGAAACCAAAGCAAGAGATTTTATAATAAAAAAAACCGAATTGATTAACTTAATTAAATAAAAGAGTAAAAGACTACAACTTTATCGGTAGAGAGAGGGGGGACCTGGTAGGGCTATGAAACAATCAGAATGGCGGGCCATTTCTGCCTTCCTTTGGTGCATGTCGGCTACTGGCCTTACCTCTCCAACTGTTTCACCTGTTATCTGTGAGGCTCAATACCACACATGCATACATTTTGAGAGGCACCATACATACTTGAAGGCAAAAAGGACTTAACTTTGAACCAATACTACAAAAAAGAAAAGAGATTTCCACAAACGAAAAAGGAAGGAGAAAACCCATTTGAAAGATTGACAGATTATGTACCTCTTTGCCCATTAGCGTCCTTGGTATGATCCTGTCCAATGTGAACCAAACATAAAGAAGAAACAAAAAAATATTGGTCATGTGTATATGAAAAAAGAAATTAAGAACAAAAAACATATGACAAAACCCAAGAAAAAGTGAAAGACGGCTGATTGTACCCAAGAACATTCCCTCCACCACGATGAACAGCCTGAGAAACCAGACCCATGAGCCCAATGCTACCACCTCCATAGACAAGGTCCAGCCTTCTTGACACCTTGACATAACCCAAAAGTTCAGAACACAAAATAATAACAGACCAATAAATGAAAAGTTGAAAATTTTGGACTTTTGGAGGGCCAATGAAGAAGTACCAGCTCTTGGGCTAATTCAATGGCAGCATCTTTGTAGCAGTTCCTCTTTCCAGTACTGCTGCCACAAAACACACAAACCCTCTTGAATCTTGATCTCCCAACTTTCTCTTCCATGTCCCAAGCTTTTGAAATTTTCAATTTTGTTGGGTTTTTTTGCCTTAGACTTTGGCCAAAGTGACACACAAATATGGAGGAAGCAGAGTACCAAGTAAGAAGAACCAACCACTATATATAGAGCTATAGACTCCACACAAATATGACTACATGACTAAACGGGTAGGACCCCCAAAAGCATAATTGCATTTTTAAAATTGTAAAATAAATAAATTAAAATTTTGAAAAATGAAAAAAGAGAGAAGGAAGGAAAGGAATACTGTGGTTCTGTTCTGTCGAACGGATAGAGACGAAGTAAGACAAAAGGGCAAAGCAAAAAGACACGGTGGGAAGTCTGTGCGCCATTCAGAGACCGTTCCTCACCGATGTTGACACGTGTCTTACAGTCATGGGATAGGCTTGCTGGTTTCGTGCCTTAGCTGGTAACTTAAGCACCCATTTACGAAGAAAAAAGAAGAAAAATCTCATTTTTGCACACTACCTTGTGTGGTGGCGTAGCCCGTCTCTCTTTCTCTCTTTCTCTCTTTCTCTCTTTCTCTCTTTCTGTCTGCGTCGTTTTTAATGCACGCAATCATAACTGGGTGCGTATTTACACGTGCAGAGCCCTCTCATCAAATCAAAGATCAACAACACTAAAATATTGGTTTTTTGGTTTCTTCGCTTTTTGGCTTCTTGGCATGGCTCAACTTGAGTTTTATAGGAGTTAGGCCAGTTAAGTAAAAAAATCATAGCTAATTAACAAATTTAGGATGTATTTAGTGAAGGAGCTTGTTTTACTAATCTAACTTTTTAAGCATAAGTGGGATTCATAGTGGGAAACACTGAGAATGAAGATATTGTTACAAAGATATTATTCACTTTTACAAGTTGTTTTAGGGGTGGTGCTAGAGGCACCAACTTTGGGCACCACCTTGGGCACTAATTCTCTAATAGACGTGGAGTCCGCCAATACAACTGGTCCCGCGCTCTATTAGAGAGTTGGTGCCTCTAGCATTTTCCTTGTTTTAGACAGACGTGGACGTACCAAGTTCGAATACTCTTTCTGTAATTTGGATTATATTAAAGTATAATATTTGTTGTATTAAAAAAAAGTAAATTTAGTTATGATTTATCAAGATCAAAACCAAATATTGGATTTTTTTGGTTTGCAAATCTTCATTTCATGGGTTTTTTAGGTTAAACTAACAATGGAAATCCCAACTTATATTACATTTGTACTCATCAAACATGAGAATGCGTTCTTATATAACATTAATTCATTCTTCATGATTTGCACCGACTACAAATTATGTGCGATGGGATGAGAAATTGACAATCCAATTTATTTGGATTGAGATTAGGTTGGGTGCACATTTCATTGATATCAAATATCAACATCTTGCAATTTATTTTGTACTTTTCTTTTTTTCCCAATTCCTCTTCTTTATCTTAATTCTGCCTTTCGTCTCTCCTCTATAAACAAAACAAAAGAATGAATGAATAGGGTTACATTACATGTGTGGGCTCCAACCTTAACTGTAAAGAAAATGTACAGTTATTCTCTTCATCAATCATTCATTGCATATTTTAATCCTTTCTGTAACTTTTTTAATTTTGCTCAAAGTACTTCGAAAATACTAGATTACAGCAACATTCAATTAATGTGGCATTGTCGATCAACGATTTAAACATGGTTTTAGAATCGTGCTCTAAAAAATCAATTTTTACCAAC